TAAAATGATAATGTATCTCAAAGAATATGAAAAATTCTGACTCATGAATTAAGATGCTCTGCAGAAAAGGCCTCTAGACATTTTCTAACTTTCCATGGAAAGGACACTCCTTTAGTAATCTTTTAGCACATTTTTTTCATGAATTTTCCTGATTTAGTAGAGAAATCCATTCTTCTCTGTTTTTTTCTTTTTATGGAACACATCTAATAAAATCTCAACCCCTTACTGGCTGAGACAACTTTCTCCTTGCCTTTTCCTGAGGTAATTTCATAATGAGGACCATACGTTCCTGGCAATTGTCCTCGGTAGATAGCTTTTAGGTACTCTACTGTTTTTTATGGTTATGTCACTATTTCACTATAAACAACTATATTAAACATCTTCTGCTCCTATAAAATATTATATCACAATAATCTTCAAAGAATTTAGCTATTAGTAAGGTACAGATTCCCAATGAAAAGGCACTATATGTGAGCAGTAATGTTGAATTGTGCTGGATCATGGAAAAGTCTAGAAGTCCTTGGCCAGGGTTAGGGACACAGATATTAGGGCATTCAGTGATACATATCATGACTTGCAGGTATTTCAATATCTTACTTGTACAGCTGCATTTCTCCATGTCGGCAGGACCCCCATTTCCCCCATCCTAACACATGACTTCACCTCCTATTCCACAGGGAAAACAACAGCTGTCAGAATCTCTTCGGGGCCGAGGAGATGGCTCAGCAGAATAAGCGCTTGCCTGGCAAACGCAGGGTCCTGAGTTCAATCCCCAGTTCCACCAAAAAAAAAAAAAAAAAAAAAAAAAAAAAAAAATCTTTTAGCTCTCAGCTAACAAATGAGGGTTCCTATAGTGCATCTATTCCATCCTTTTCTCATTCTAGAGTGTAAGAAACAAAAAAGAACATCTATGACACAAAGAAATATGGAAAGTGTCTGATGTCAATTATGCACAGGTTGATGGATTAAAAAAAAGAGAAAGAGACAAAATTGATTTTTAAAAATGCAGTAATACAAAGAAAGTACAAGAAATCACTAAAAGGAAGTAAATATCCATGGTTGTCCCCTTTATGTTTTACTAAACTACAAGGCAATATGAACAAGAGTGATCAAATATACATGGGACCTGTAGGAAGATCCCTCCAAGGAAAATTTGTCATGAAGCACTTCAAAAGGTTCTCAGCATAAGTACATTAAGGAACCTGATTATAAATTCAATTGAAATGAACCCAAGGGACATTTGTAATACATCAAATCCTTAAAAATAAGAATTTTATGTGCACTTCAGATAAGTAGAGAAATTGAATTTATTTTGAGGACATCACAAAGACGCAAAAGACCAAAAATGCTAGGGAAATATTTTAGACTTTCACTTTAGCAGGCAAAGATAAAAATGCTTTCCCTGCCTTTTGAAGTGGGTTATGTGCTAGGCGTGTAGATACACTGTGAGGGAAACTGACCTCAAGGAGAAACAGACTAGGTACTGATTTAATATATTCTCCTAGAATGCAAAGAAATTTGATTACAGAACACTGAAATATGGTGTTTTCAAATGCTATATTTTAGGCCACTATGCCCAGTTAGACTGGTAGTTCCTAAGTTTGAACTCAAATTACAGTCTTTCAGAGCACTTGATATAGCACCAATTGCTGGACTTCCTAACCAGAGTTCTTAACCCAGTAGGTCTGGGATGGAGCCTGACCTGTTCCCAGATGATACTGGTGCGGCTTAGAGAAATCGCTGCTCTAAATTATACTAAAACTAAAATAAGCCAATGCAAAAATACTTGTTTTGAGTGAAGGGAGGGGAAATAAATGGATAAGTTTTTTTAAATCCTTACTTCTGAAGAAATCATTCCCAAAAGCTTTTGACAAAATGCAATACTAATTGATTCAGAATATCAAAATTGAAGAAAAAAAAAACAAAAACTGTCCTTGTCCAAAGTCCCTTCACTGTATTTGTCCATCAATCACAGCATTTTTTACTGATTGTTCTGTATGTATTTACCTTTTATGGTTTTTGCCATTTTCCTAAGATTTCTCTGTCCCTAGCACCACTGTCCTTGGAGTGACTTCCTGACATTTGCTGTCGCCTTTTTGTTCCTAATTCTTAGCACACCTTCATTCCACCTTGCTCCTTGCTCTGCAGGCTTCAGTGAACTGCTGACTCCCCTGGATTCTCTGCATTGTTTGATTTCATTCCCATCCTATTAACTCCCTGCAGACCAGGCTAACTAAAAGTGAACATTCTAAACGGAAATTAGACCCACTGAAGCCACGTAGATGCGATAATCTCAATTCGGAATAGAATAAAAGGTCAGAATATCCCCCTATGCCACCAAAAGGATAGCACTTCCTGTCTGTCCTATTCAGGGAAGCCAGGGAGATGACAAGATGATATTATATAAGGACTTACCCTGGCATCTGAACTTCTAAAGTATGAGAAGACATTGTAGTTTCAGCTATCTCAAGAAAGAGAACAGTTAACAAAAACAACAGGGATGGATGAAAAGGTAAGTTTTTTTTAAAAAAATAATAATAATAAGTAGAAAACAGTTGTTAGGACATGTGTCCAGGCCAAACATTCATGGACATCTCTGTCACCAGATTCAAAATACACTAAATTGTGTAGGAGAAAGGGATGGTGGGAAAAAGGTAAGAAATAAACCCATCTAAATTAGGAAAACTCATCAGTACTTATAACATTCAAACCAGAACATAGGGGAAGAGGTACAATAGGGATGGAAGAAGATAGGGTGAAAGCCTCACTAATTTTTTTTTTTTTTTATTTTAGGTACCGGTCTAGAGTGTTCAGGGTCTCACTACTACATCAGACTCATAGTCCTGCCTGTTTACAGCCTCCCAAGAGCTGGGATTACAGACCCATACCACCACACACAGTCTCAACTGCTGTTTTAGCATGCCCTGGGGGCAGGTTGGTCAGTAGGCCCAGGATTGAACTCCAGGCCTCTGCACCAGCTTGCAAGCATTTTAATCCACTGAGCTATTTGGCCAGCCCAAAACATGAATAAGGCATCTAGCAGCATAATTTATAATAGCTAAATCTTGAAAACAGCCCAGATGCCCATCAACTGAGGGGTGGATAAATAAGATGAGGTCTTTTTATACAATGGAGTCCTACTCAGCTATAAAGAAGGATAAACCTGAGACTTTTATAGGTAAATGGGTACAACTTGAGATCACAACTCATAAGTGAAATAAATCAGGTTCACATATGTAAACCTCATATTGAGTCCCTGCTGTAAGAAACTAAAAGAATAAGTAAGTTCTAAACGGTAAATATATACTGTAAAATGGGAACAAATTCAAAAGAAAAAAGGGAAAAGGACAGAAAGGAAAACAGAAAAGTATGAGTCAATTAGATTATTAGTGTCTCTTAGTTCACTAAAGAAGAAGGTTTGTGCTAATATAGATTGGAGAAGGTTTTATAAGTATATCTTATACCCTGAGCAATTACTTTCAAGGTAAAAACATATGATGCACTAACTATTGTTATTCTCCTATATTTTGTTGTGAAATTTCATTTTGCCTTATTGCATAAAATAAAACTAAAATTGGAATAAATAAAACAGGTTCCAGAGCTGCTGCCTTTCAGTCTGGACCTGGGAAGCACGTGCCCCAGTGCCTGCCCTACGGGCACTCCAGGTTCCTCCTGGTTCTCAGTCAAGATGGCCGCTCTCTGACTGTGAATCTCCTTAAGGAGGAACAGATGCCCCAGAATAAGACCTTTTCCAGTGTCACTACATCACTGTCCAGACTATAGAGGGTTTAATTGGAGTTGTGCCAGTTGGCCTTTTGATCTGACATGTGGTTGAAGCAGTACTATTAAGATGACCTGGGAACAACATCAGTTGCCCAAAGTTAGAAATAAAAATAGTTCACAAAGTCCCACAGTTCTGTCCTGATGCCCAATGGTGCTCACTTGTAGCCCTGGTTAGTCTGAAGTAGCCCAGCACCTCTGGGACACCTGGGCAGGCTCCAGTTGCACCCTTCTGATAAATGTGTTATTCCGTTACACAGCTTCACCCACCAGCCTCGTCTGACCTTTCTCCCAGATGGTCACAGCCTGAGATCCAGTGTACAAATCCAATACAGCATGTCTTGTGCATGACTGTCTTAAAGGATTTTATTTTGTGTAATAATATGTACTGCCAAATAATATAAAAATAATAAGATCTACCTGTAAACAGTGCAACCAAGTGTCACACCAACTGCAATACCAAATAAACCTTGAACAGTGAAAATAAAATAAAATAAAAGTTAATAACAGTTTTGACCTCTGAAGCTAGACTCTGTCAGTTAGGAAAAAAAAGGCAGCTAGACTCAGGCAATGACAAGGACCAAGATGAAGAACTCAGGACCAGCAAGTTCCTAGATAGAAAAGAAAGAAAAAGGGAAAAAGAAATCTATACATATGTATACAGAACGATTTGGATAATTGTACTACTGATTTCTGTTGGTCTATTGAAAGAAGTTAATGCTTCAATTTTTTTCTCTCTCCTTTTTAATATTTTATAATTTTGACCAATTTTTCATGCTTATATTTGATAATCTGAACAACGAATTTGAAGACAACAATATGCAATATGCCAACCATTGTTGAATCCTTATCATTTTGTTTAGTAAAAATCGATATCATTTCTAATGTTGTATTTACTATTTTTTAACCTATTTTAAAAAATTTTAAAGGTTAATACAAATACTTCAAACTTTTCCTCCACTTAGTCCTTAGCCAAAAGTACCCATCCAAAATCCCCACCATTCACCAAAGGACACGACAACAAAGCACAGATTAAGTTCCAAGGGCCAGAGGAAATCCAAAGTTAATATAAAAGACAAGACAGGGAGCCAATCAGATTCCAGCAGACTTTGTAGGCCAAATTGCTTAACAAAAGGAGCTGCAGACAGGAAATTCAGGAGCGATTCACTTTGTTTTTTTTTTGTTTTGTTTTGTTTTGTTTGGAACCTGCAACTTTTATTCATGCCCCCAGCCAAATAAAATCACAAAGGCCCCTACCCTAGACCTGCTCCTGGGAGCCAGAAGTATATAAAGTGCTGGTGTGTGACTATTCTCAGGAAGGCCAAAGGGAGCAGGGGCCCCACCCCTGGACCAAAGCAGCAGGGCCTCTGTTGAAGGACAGGGCACTGGCCTGGTTCCCTGAGGGTCAAAGGAAAGGTGGGGCCATCACCACCTCGGGGCTGGGAGACTCTGCAGTCCTGGGCAGGAGGGAGCTAAAAAGAGTGCCCTCGGCACAAGTCTTAAGGGTGCAATTCGGGTTGGGGCGACACCTTTGTGAGGGGGGCAGGTCAGCGAAGTGAGGGGATCTCAGAGAATAGGGCAGCCCCTCCGGCGCTTATTCTTGCGGACCTGGAGGCCGGCACGCGTAGCCATCTCAAATACCTCCCGAACACCCTCCTTAGTCTTGGCTGAGCATTCAAGGTAGCCAAAAGCACTGATCCGATTTGCCATGTCCCGGCCTTCCTCAGAACGAACAGGCTCCTGCTTCATCTTGGCCAGCTCTCTCCTGGTGTGCTCATCTTGCCTCAGGTCCTTCTTATTCCCCACCAGGATGATGGGAACATTAGGGCAGAAGTGTTTCACCTCCGGGGTCCACTTCTCTGGAATGTTTTCCAGGCTGTCTGGACTGTCCATGGAGAAGCACATGAGGATGACATCAGTGTCCGGGTAGGAGAGAGGCCGCAGACGGTCATAGTCTTCCTGCCCTGCAGTATCCCACAGAGCCAGCTCCACCTGCTTCCCATCCACCTCTATATCCGCAATATAATTCTCAAAGACTGTAGCGACGTAGACCTCTGGAAACTGATCCTTGCTGAAGACAATGAGGAGGCAGGTCTTCCCACAGGCGCCATCCCCAACGATCACCAGCTTCTTTCGGATCGTAGCCATGGCTGGGGCTTCTGCTCCACCGCCTCCAGCTGTGCCGCGATTCACTTTGGAATCCCCTCTACTTGTCCAGAGTGGCTGTGGGCACCATCTGTTCTCCCACCTCCTCTCCCTTCCCTCCCTTTTCCCACCTTCAGATAAACTGTCTTCTTTTATTTTAAACTGCTTCTTTTACCAACACTGGGTTTGGGGCCTCTGCAAGCTGCACGCTCCAGGAGAGCGTGGTGTGACACAGCAGGACAGCGGCTTGCTGCCCATCCAGGACATTACAATATTGCATAGCGTGGTGTGGCGAGCAACCCCGCCCAGACGTTACAGTAAATTTCAAGCGTCATAAAAATATTTCCAGGCACCACAAATCAATTTCCCATTGACTATAATTCTAAGATCCCCTCCCTAAGTAAACAAAATTAGCTTCTAAAAGATTTTAAAGTATTAGGGCCTGCCAGATACCTCAGTGGACTAAAGCACCTGCTTAGGCAGAGCACAGAGGCCAGGTTCAATCCCCCGGCCTGCCGAGCTGACCCTGCCCCTGGGGTGCACTGAGACAGCGATTGAGACTAGGCATAGAGCCACGCCCCTGTAATCCCAGCACTTGGGAGTCTGGAAACAGGAGGATCACTGCGAGTAGGATCCGTAGTGAGACCTTGTAGACCCTGTATAAAGTATATTTTAAGAAATGATTTTAAAGTATTGTTTCTGTCACAGTTTTACGTGTCCACTAGGATGGGCTACAGTTAATCCAGTTACTCAATCACACCCTCATCTAGGTAAAACTGAAGGTATTTTTGTGGTGATGACAGTTGATCTTAAGAAAGCGGTTAATTTAGATAGTCTAGGCGGGCCCAGTTCAATCTACTGATCAGCCTTCAGAGGGGGAAGAAGAAATGCTATCTATAGCAAGCAGCTATGGATTAAGGCCCAAACTCGTAGCCCCAACATCACCCGCAACAGCATCCCCACTGTTTTCGATGCATCCAATCTAGCTACCCACCACCTCATCACATAAACAAGTCTGTTATGACTAAATCTCCTTATACTTCCCCAACCATCTTTGTTTCTGTAGTTTGGTTGTAACTGGTACGTTTTTCTTATTCATTATATCACAGGTCTGCCTCCTGCTGGTGCCTACAGTTCAGGTTTTCAAATACACTGCATCAATTTTATATGATCTAATAAATAAATATCCCAGAAAGCCATGATATAGCTAAAAATTAGTAGAGAACTTCTATTTAGGACAGTAGCTATAGTCTGGTTTCCCAATTAAGCTGATAAAGAATTTTTAATAGAGGAAATCATGAAATATTATTCATAGAACAGGAAAATAAGTTCTTTTAAAAAATATTTACAGAGCATTGGATATAGCTCAGTGGTACAAGCCCTTGCCTGGAAAGCACAAGGTCCTGATTTTGATTTCCAGTACAAAAAAATGTGCACAATATACATCATACTGTGGAGAAAAGATTTCACTGCAAAAATGGAATTGATTGCCAAGAAAATGAATGGGCAAGATCATGGTCCAGCAGATCTCCAGCCACAGCAAAATCAGTCAGACTGCATATAACTCATGTGAGAACACAATAGGTGTGGTGCCCTTTCATGTACATCGCAGACATTTATTCACATAACACGGATATTTACTCACAACATCTCAGTGAATTAGAGGCGAGCAACCCCATTTTATAGATGTAAGACTGAGGCAAGAATCATTAAGCAACTTGACCTCCAGCCCTGAAAGTACCTAGGCAAAATAAAAGTAAAGCCACATTTGGCTCCAGAATCTGAACTCTCAGTCTCACCTTATCTCAGAGTCCTACGTACAGGAACTAGGAAGTCCGTTGTAAGGATGTTGAGATTCTAGCAGAATATGAGCAGGAGGGGAGGAAGCTATTCTGAGTGTCATCCCTACCTGAAGAAGTCCTAAAAGAGGGTGAGGCTCCTAAGGCAGGTAGCATGTTAGATATAGAAGACAACTACCAGATAACTTTAGGTCACTGCTAGAAATAAAGAAATGCAATCCTTTCTCATTCCATGCACTATTGATGAAAGAATTTTGTTTAGATTGTAATGTTTTATCTTGGTGGGTCTGCAGCCCAGGGGTCCCCAAACTCACCCTTACGTAGTATGTACTCATTCGACAGCATAACCCTGTCCCACCTAAATATTTCTTAGATCCTTTTTGTTCTATGTTCTAAGCTATGAGCACACCTTTCTTGTCTGGATAACACTCAAAGCATGCTAATGTGGTCCCTTGACCCACCTGACCTCAGACTCTGTCCTCCATATGACTTTTGGAATATTGTCATTATCCATACCATGGACCTGAAGTGTCTCCTGCCATCTGACACCTCTAACCCCCCAAAAACTCTTCTCTTGGTGCTCATTACTGTAGGGAGAAATGAGATCCCTAGGTAGGTTAGATAAGAGAAGGAACCCTTTTCAAGTAGAAGAGATATAACCCCCGTGTCACACTGAACAACCTGTGTCTTCTAAGCTACTGCCTTCCCCCACCCATCCACTTAGGTTCCCTTTCAAGAAAATCACCGCCCCCAAGCAGGTGGCTAAACTAGATGAGGAACATTTCTTTGTAGCCCGCCAGACCCACACTGTTATCAACAAGCCCAATAACTAATTAAGTACTAACCCTCTGGGGCAGAGGAGGATGGAACTCTCACCCTTTAAAACCCTGGAGCACCACTGGCTCATGCTGTGTTGCTCTAGCTCTGGACACCCCCACTACCTGGAATGGCTTTTCACTGCTTCCTTGCAAAATACTCTGCAATAAAAAGTACTTTCACTTTTCACCGGCATTTTCTGACTTTTTTCCTTTCTACATCAGAGAAACAAGCCCAGCAAGGGTGAGTTTGGGGACTCCTGGGCTACAGACCAACCAAGATATAACATTGCAATCTGAACAAAATTCTTTCATCCATTCCTCCAACTCATCAGGATGGTAGTAGGTTCTTAAAACCTTTCTCACCACTGGAAATTAAATAGAATTTTTGTAACTATGTGGCACAGAACTTTTCTAAGAATTAGTTCATATAGATGACCCTCTCACTTAGAATGTTTCAACTTATGACTTTTCAACTTTATAATGCTGTGAAGGCAACATACGTTAAGTAGAAACCATATTTCGCAGTTTGAAAGTTGGTATTTTCCCTTGCAACATTGGAGAGCTGCGGCAAAACACAGCTTTTGGCAGGTGCACAGTCTCAAGGAAAACATCCGTCTCTGTAATGCACTGCATTGCAAAGCTATGATATTCAGTCGCTGGATGCAATAAGCACATTTTCTATTGTATTTTCAGTTTCAATTTACTGTGGGTTTACCTGCATGTGATTGCATCAAAAGTCAAGAAGCACCTGTACCGGAGAAGGATCGGATCAGTCATTCTCACTGTCCTATCTCCTGCACCCAACAGTGTCTGACACAAAGCTGGCCTTCAAGAAATACTTGTCAAATAGATGAATTCTTTGGCTATAATAATTAATCCCTAGACACAAATGTACTTCTGTGCATCTCTCTAAAATGAATAAAATGAAACTCTAAAAAATATCTAAATCTCTACTTCTCCATTTTTATCTGGACCTAATAAACGAGCTAAATGGAGTCTCTGACCAGAGCTCTGCTTCAAATACTAAACACATAAAAATCACCCACCTCTAAGAATGACAAGACAAATATTAGTAGACAATTGGAACATTTTAATACTTCTTCCAGAGGTGATCAATTTGTTGAAGCATCATGCACCTCCTCAATGTACTGAGATAATTGGTAAAGTCAGCAAAGATAATGTATTTGTGTTCACAGCAGTAGTTGCCTGTAGGAAAACATAAGGTAGGAAAGACTATTTTCAGAGAAAAAAAAAGTGAGATGAAATTTATTGGAGGCAGCTGAACTAAAGTAATTAGATAACACCAAAAACAAATGTTTTAGAAGATACGCCTAACAACTTCCCCTCCAATTTAATGAAAATTTCCCAAATAAATACATTAAATTTTGAATCAAGCACTTGCAACTTGGGAGGCATCCAGAACACCTTCTATGAGTATGCCAAGCCAAGAAGAGCAGGCGGAGGGTCAGTAATGAAGGAAGAAAATGTAGAATCCCTAAAATAAACGAGAAAAGAATGATGATGGGTTTTCAAGTGGAAAGTCTATTTGTCATCTGTACACAAAAGTAATTCTTAAAAAGAATACAGAGTCACAACTCAACTGAGTCTTACTCAGGTTTTAACTTTTACAGATTTAGGACGGCTTCTCAAGGATACAAAATAAGTTAACAACAAAGAAAGGAACAGGAATGTAATCAGTCAAGTGGGAAGTTCTCTTAAGGAGAACTTAAGGTAGTGCACAAATCATACTATGAAGTTAAGGTACATATTAACAATAATTAAAGATAAAATTGCATACCTGGAAATAAGTGATAATGGCTAAACATTTTATTGCTGGAAAGAAATCATTGTGAGAAGGAGGACAAGGGGAAAAGCACTTTACAGTAAGAGGATGAGCTTGGTGGCTTACATAGGTCCCAGAAGCCTGGGATCAAATTCTGGCCTTGTCAGTGATTGAGTTTCGCACAGGTCACTTAAGTTCGTGGAGCTCATTACACCTTAGATTACAACAGCCTCAGAGGATAGTTACAGTAGTGATAGTTATTATCATTATCATAAACATAATCTACACCACTACTGCTACCGCAAGTACTAGACAGCATGTAGCATGCTTACCTTGCTAACTAACTGTTATTAAATGTGGTTTTTTAATGTAGAGAATGTACTGTGATAATTGATAAAGTCAGCAAAGATAATGTATTTGTGTTCACAGCAATAGTTGCCTGTAGGAAAACATAAGGTAGGAAAGACTATTTAGTTCAAATAACCACTTGCAACATCAGGTAAAGATAGTAACAGGTAAAAATGTTTAAAAAAATCAAATTTTTAAATAAAAGCTTCAAATTTCAAAGACAAACTATACAACAGCAAATTAAAATGAAAATATCAAAAAGTTGAAAAGCTTAATAAAATAAGATA